AACTGCCTCCACGATACGGGAGAAAATCTTAGTGTGGGGGTAACGTTATAAAAAATATTGGTAAAAGAACACTTGAGTGTGCTTAGGCTGCCTAGTTTATTTTTATGTTGAAAAGTACTTCATCGTTATTTTATTTGGACGTCATTTTCCAAGAGGCTTGGAATAAAAATGTATAAAAGATAAGTATTTGTTGGTACTTTTTGGTTTACAAGAAGCGCATCGGACGATAGTGTCCAAATAAAATAATGATGAAATACTTTTCAACGTGGAAATAAACTGTGTGCACATACCTCGGTAGGTCTGTACGTAGTTAATTTTCATGTTGAAAAGTAAGTATACGTCGACTCGTAAGTAAGCATCTATAGGCATTGGTACGAGTCGTATCACGTTGTACCAGTCTACAATATAATATAGGTATCGTCACACGAGAAGGCTCTTTTGGTGCACCCAATTATTATCTGAAATTATTAATATAAATAAACGCTAGTTCTATCAATCAATTACAATAAATTTATTTACTACGTAGATGTATTCAGTTATTAGTGGGTTATGAAATAATCCTACACCTATGAAAGTGCGATCTACAGCTTGTCGCTAGGCTTGGGTAAAAATATCGATTATATATATAATATTTATAAATCGCGATATATCGATATTCAATATTTATCGTAAAGTATCTAATTCGTATTACATACATAACATAAACATAAACACTCACGCCTGTCACCCAGAGGGGTAGGCAGAGACTACAGACTTCCATTTGGCACGATCCTGACACATCTCTCTCGCCTCCTTCACATCCATACACCTACGCATACATGCTCGTCGGTTAAGGATACTCCTAATTTGGCCCGTTTTCAATAAATCGCCAATTTGGTCGATAAATTTTCGCCTAGGACGTCCCTTTACAACTCTGCCATTCACTTCTGCAACATAAATTTTCTTTGTCACTCTTTCCTCATTCATTCTTTCCACATAACCAAACCACCGAAGCATTCCTTTCTTAATCCTGGTCACAACATCATCTTGCAAACCACACTCGTGGTAATTCGTATTAATTTCGATATATTTTAAAATGGTAATTCGTATTAATTTCGATATATTTTTAAATGTTGTATTAATCGACAAAACATTAAGCAACAAAAGAAGCTACAAAAACATACCATTTTGATCCTTATCGTACTATATTATGCAAAACATGACGATCTATCGATATTCATCACGTGAATATACTGATACTGTTTAAAAATATTGCTCCGATATAATATATCGATTTAGTTTTTCACTTGCCCATCCCTACTTGTCGCTATAGCCTCATGAGTAGATAAACGGAATATTGTTAGCAGCTAGCCTGTAGACAGAGAAACCTATAGACAAATTGACGCCTTCTTTCGCATTCGCACATGAAAAAGATGGATTTATGCATACGTCTTGCATAGAAATGAGATAGAGCGGTGTGATTGTTTGTCCGTTTCTCCGTGCGGTTTTTTTGTTTAACAAACTACACTTTGCTAAACAACTTTGACAGTTCGTAGCAATCTACGGAGTTTACAAGTTGGTTTAAGTGAAAAAAAAGTGTTTTGTGAGATTGGTGAATCTTGTTCAGTTCAGTTCTTAGAACAATTAAAAATTTTATCTAAATATGTTTAAAAGTCATAAAGATTATTGTATAATCTAAAACTATGTTATCGTCCTTTCTCACTCGAGGCTGCGCTAATCATTAGTCTATAGGTTTCTCTGTCTACGAGCTAACCGGACACGCGAGGGACTCCGTGCGCGCCGATCGCTCGCCTGCGTCTGTTTCAGCCTCGTAAAACCTACGAACACGATACCATTATATAAAGTGATTCGTAGACAAGTGCGGAATAAAATAATAAATATTATTTAATAATTTTAAAACAAATAAATGTTACAATCCTTATTTTTATACTAAATTTTAGTGTAATATGTCAAAAGAGTATTAATTTTCTTTCGAGTAAAATTGCTTTTATTACTTCATTCTATAGGTAAAATCATTTTATCGATCAGAAATTTATTGACTCTAAAATAATGAAACCGTGGATTTTTTTTTAAATGGATTGGTATAATATGATGGATTTAATCAATTTGGCAGATTTTATTTATTTAATGAGTTTGTTAACATTTTATACTCTTTATAAAAAGAGATTTTAGTGTCGCTTTTTCCTTTCATCTACTTTCAAATAACAAACATTTTAAAGAAATTTTCACTCTAATTCACTTTTTTTTCACTAAATATTTTAATTACAAACTTTGCGTTAATAAATTTAGTATTAGTATTTATACGTATTTCTTCAGTCATATCTAAAATTACACTATTTGCTGTTGTAAGTTTAATGTTTAACCTTCAGAAAATGCTGGTTTCAGAGAAAGTTTTGAATAAGTGTAATAGTCGCCACACACGGTCAGTTCAACTGATCAGTTCAAACTAAAAGTGTTGATATTTTTTAAAATATTGTATTTTCGATATATTGATAAATAAACTTATCTAAAAAACTCCGATATTGATGTATTTATAACTACAACACGTGTGGTTGTGTAGAGTAGTGTCATTTCCGGTCTGAACCTATATTATTCTAAGATACTATCAAATAATAATACCACAGTTAAGCTGAATAAAGAGTTCTTCATGACGAAGTTCTACGTTTTAGGTTGTCATATAAAATATTTAATATACTGTATTTATTAATGAATGAATTTGTTGGTGATATCTGATTATGATATCCAGTAATAATAAAATGTATACAGTCAAGTTACCATTACTATAATTAAAACTTACAAAACTATTTAATCTAAAAATCCTAGAAATTTTTACACTTAAAGTAAATATTTTTTATATTTATAATCTTTAAAAATCGGTATAAATATAAAAAAAATATTTACTTTAAGTGTAAAAATGAAAGATGCATAGGAATAAAACCGATAAAACAAACAGCATTTGCTATTGTGCCAATAAATCCTTATACAAAACTCTGTATGTGTTTTCTGGATTTAACTTTAGTTTTTTTTTATAGAGCACCGGTGCCAAACGAGCACACAGTCAACCTGATTGTAAGTGGATATTATAGCTCATAGGCATCCAATTCTATCTTCGGTTAAAAAATAAAATCCAGATGCCGTTGTCACCCCTGGTAAGCAGTTGTCGTTCCTGGTAAGCTTAAAGTAGACATGCAACGAATATTCGGCTTTTTTTTTTAGAAGAGGGGGCAAACGATCATACGGTTCATCTGATGTTAAGTGACTACCGCCGCCCATGATCAACCGCAACACCAGGGGAATTGCAGGTGCGTTAATTTGTGCTATAATTCGATATTCGGCCTATTCGGCTACTTTTAACCTATTCGGCCGTTTATCGAATATCTATGTACTGTTCGGCTTAATACCCAATACTTAAGTAAAAGGTTTTATTGTAGTCAAATAATTGGTAAAATGAAAATACTTATTTTTCGTTATAATTAATTTTCTTTTCTTGTAATCATCAAAGTGGAAGATAATGGAGCAGAAAGAATATTTGTTCTTCATTTTCAGGAGAATATTTCCCTGTGGACTAAGATATACCTAATTCCTCGTTTACAGTAAAAAAGGGTCTCCAGTTTTCTACACTTACCGCACGAAACACAGCAACTCTACCAAGTAGAAAATGTGTAAAACGCACGTGGAAATTAATGATGTATATTATCATAGATATGTCATTAGGTTAGATAAGGCACAAAAGCTCATTTCTTATTTTTAAAGTATTACTAACGTAGATATGAAATACTAATAGTGTTATTTCATTAATTTAATAGCCAGAGGATATTAAGTTTTCTTTCCGGGAAAATTTAACGTGATTACATGTTGCTTGTCATTTGTACATAAACAAGTTATGTTAATGTTATACTGGCCACCTATCACTTCTTTCATAATTTTCCATGCAAATTTATTTTTATTAGACTAAACGTGGTCTGATTAGCTTGCTGCTATATAGACTCTGTTTACCCCTCAAGGATAACAGGTATATAATTCAACGGCATACAGAAAAAATAGTAACCTTCGACGATATCATTAATGAAAATAATATTTAGCACATTTAAAAAGAAATCGTTAAAATCGTAAGTATAATCGTAAAGGGTAAGTAGCCTATGGGCCTTATAGACAGTTAAAGGGAAAGGTCATGTAAGACTTGCATAGCAATGTCCAGATAAGTCGTATAGTGACTTCTAAAAATGACGAATCGCCTAGGTGATTATGATTTATGATGAGGATGGAGATGTTAACAAATTGCATTAAGTTGATGTTTGCCGTACTACAGTACGTATTTAGTAAATATTAAGTTAAAAAAATGCGTATTTATTGTAAAAGGCATTGATTTTGTCAATTTTTTTATTTATTAATTAATTATTTACATTAAATCATAATACTTAAAAATAATTTCATTTACATTTACATTTTGGTCATCAGGGATGACGACGCATATATAATATATGCGTCTTCATATATAATATATAATAATTATTATTATAATATTAATAATTATAATTATAATATAAAATATATAATAATAATAAATAATAATTTTTCATTTCCATTTTGATTATTTGTCTAGGATAGATGTAAGGAAAAATTATTCTTTCTTTATATTTCCAATGCTATTATTCCATTAAATTATGATTACGACAAACTTTTAGTACAAAATGCCAAAAATAGAATTTAAACCTGTTAGTTTTCATGTCAACCGCAATATGTAAGTATTCAGAACGAATGTCACAATTTATCCACAACGTGATTTGTTACTTGTATACTAGTATAATACATGTTACGTAGATAAGACTACATGGGATCTATTAAATAACAGACATCACACTAAAGCTTATTTTGTAGTAGAATTAAAGTCAAATTTTAATATAGTTAGATCAAAAATATAATATTTTAGTTAATATATTTATCACTCGAGAGATTAAATAAAATATTAACAGATTTAAATAAACTAATAACTAATTTTATTACTCATCTTTGAATCGTATATCTATAGGGAATTCTTCTTCCTCTGCCGTTTGCGGTTTGTTATCTGTTTGCCGTTTTGGAGCCGTAACATTTATTTTATCGCCACCGTATATATAATCATTAGGTCCGAGAGGAATGTATAATGGATCGTCACGATCAGTTTGATTTTGAGTCGCTGAGTTATCATCTTTCGAATGGTTATCTTCCGTAGCATACGAAGGTCTTGACGATGTTGAAGGAGAGTTCTGATTGTTTTGATTTTCAGTTGAAATAAATTCATTATTAGGATTTCCGTTTACGGGCCCGTTTCCATGGTTTGGCTTGTTGATATTATTTTGATTATTATACTCGTTATTGGGATAGTTTTGATTGTTAGGATAGTTTTGGTTTTGATTGTTATGATGATGACCGTTATGATAATGTTCATTGTTATCGTAATACTCGTTTTGATTATTGGGATGCTCATTGTTGTTATAGCCATAGTTATCATTGTTTGAAAAATCTTGTATATTATTGTCGTAATTATTGGGATATTTTTCATTTCCATTTCCTTGGTGATTATTGTTATTATGCCCATTTTGGAAAGGTCTGTTATATTCGTTAGAGTTATGAGAATAGGGTCTTTCGTTATTGTTAATCGGCTGTTGAAATCCGTTTTGATTAGGTCTATAGCCATGAGGACGTTGTCCATAGTTGTTTTCATATGGACCAAAATTTTCATGCGGTCCTGGTGGTGGTCCGTGTCCATAGCCGGGTCGTCCCTGTTCATTAACTCCAATTTGACCTTGGAAGTTGAGGTTCAAGCTTCTGAGGACCGCCCCTGCTCCATCATGTACTCTAGAATGAATATGATCGTGTACAGTTGACAAAATGTCACGAAGAAGAGATCCTTCACACCTCCACAACACGGATAACAGAAATAATAATCCTGGTGAGAACATCATGTTTCAAGAGTATATTAAAAATGATTTAATTGCACAACTGAATCACTGTACGCCGTCGTGTAGAAACACGCAAGCAACTGACGCGAGCTAAGTTTTATGCTGGTCGTATTATTTTATATGAAAAACCTGTTTGACCGTTTGATACGTGATTCAGGATTTCATTAAATAAAAAAATACACACAATTTAAATGTACATATCTTATAGCCACAGCTAAGGAGGTTGTTAAATTTCTCGTCCGCACAAAATTTAAATTGCAAATAATACCGACTTAGAATCGTTTTCTATTCGTGTTTAAGATAACAAAATCAGTATAAACTCGCATGTATTATATTGCCTTTAGAACAGTTAATTGAAATTGCTACGAATGTCAATGTCATAGTAATGTTGGCCTTGGTTTTCCTCATCGCGTGGATTTGTTGTCGTCGCTTCTTCATTACTTATCATATCATATTTTTTAGTGTCAACAAAAAATAGATTGTAGAGTCGGTGCGCAGTGCGAATGTTTTGCGAATTGGTCGAATAATGGTCGTAGTAATGATCTTGAGGTAGCCATGGGTATTTATGATTTTCAAACATGTTATGACTGTTCTGATTTTCTTGTGTTGACTTTACAAAGGTCCCTTGAGGATTGTTCAAATACGGTTGAGAGTATGATACAAAATAACCTGGAAGATTATTGCTATATCGGACGGATGACAATTTATTTTTTGGAAAATTAAGCAGGTTTAATGGCTTTGGTGTACAATTTATTAACAATGTTTGAGGGATTCGTATATATGTTTTTCTAAGCGGTACATTATGGTACTTGAAACGTGGAGCGATAATTTTTCTGCTTGAATATGGATTCTGTTTTAATTGAAATGTCACTGATGCTAAGCACACACACAGCACGGCAGAAACTATAACTGATTTGAGGATCATTTTTTATTTTATAAACTATCTTTCAAAGATGTTTCTTTTTCACTGACAAATATATAACTGATACAAAATTACTTTATTCTAAACGTAATAAAAAGATAATTAAGAACTAATAGCCGAAGTAATTAAATGGCTTTGTTACATTTACGAGTTCTTTTAAAGTTGACGAAATTAGCTGTAATTTTCTAGGTATTTTTATAGGTAATCAATACGGATTTCATTTGTAAGGCACCGGTGTATACCTACTAAAATGTAAGGTGTATTAATTATATTTCAGTGTAATGATTAGTCGTCATCTAGGTTTTTCCCAGAATTTTAACTGGTACTTCACAATCCATAATTATTTAATTGCCGCTTATGTAGTTAATTGTAATTTTATTATAACAATTAACGTAAACGTTTTTAAGAATAAAAATTAACTACATATTGAACGAGTGCCTAACGAAAAAGGCATAATGCAGTATAGACGAATTCACATATTAATTACTGTAATTATATAATTTGAAAATATTGTTAAATAAAACCTAGTTATTTAGATCAATATGTATAGGGAAAGAGACTCTATCTGTTAATTGACTGATGATACTGGCAATGCAAAAAAATGTATTCGAAAGTAAGTAAGGCATTACCATTGCTACGAGAGTGGTCGGTGAACACAGTGTTTCTCTAACCACCTTGACATTTGATGAGTATGGGAAAATTTCTCAAGAAATATAAGTATATACCATATGACATATTTCCGATATACCTATTGTAAAAGGTTCTGACAAATTTAAGAGTTGAACATTTATGTTGGCGTAAAGACGTGTGTTTGTTTCAATGATAAATTAAAAGTAATTAAAATAATTTTTGCAATGATGAACGTAATAAAATGTTGTAAAAATAAAAATATTTTGATTTTATTTTAGAGAAGAAAGAGAGCTCCTTTCACTTGATGTGATTTCCTCTGTACTGCTGTGTCCGGATTAAAATCTATGCGACGGATCATTATTATGCTTCGAAAATTTCAAAGACTAATATGAAGACAGGGGAAAACATTAAAATAATATTAACTCAAAGACTGGGAAGGTCTGAAATACTTCTACAAGAATTGACCAATTAAATTTTTTTTTTGCAAATATTATTCGGATTGTCTGTAATTACCATAGATTTAGAATAATCTGACGTTAAAACATTGACTTATATATTACTAGCGTAAGGACCGGGCCGACCGAACAACTAAAACGGACCAGTGCGTTGGCCCTAAAATTGCAGTTTAGGGCCAACGCGAATCGGTCGACAGTGGTGCGCGCGCAGGACAACTATTATATTTATATAACTATATATTTGATTTTTTGACAGATTGCCTGTGACAAATATGTCTAGTTGCGTGGTAAAAGAATGCAAAATTACGATACAAAGATTTAAAAGAAACATGGGATATCGTATCATCGGTAAATAACCTTATATTAATTTTGTTACAATTAAATTATTATATAAACACATTTTTAAAGTTTTATTTTACAGTTAGTTTAGTTACGTTACCAAGATTAGGCCAGGGTTGGATTCAGACCCTCAAAAATATTGTACATGGAAAATAAAATTATACTATTTTAAAAAAAATATATCACGTTTGACATTTCATGTTTCTTTTTTCACCGATTGACCAGAAAGGGATCTAATTCTAATTTTATTAAAAAAAAAACGCAGTACTCATGTACAATACAGAAATTCCCGATATCGTAGGGTTAAATATTAAAATGTAAAAGGACCCAATAACAATATAAATCGACCTTTAGATCAAATTAAGGTATTTTCGCTTAGTATTATTACGATAACAACATACAAATCTCACAGAATACCAGCGTCAAATAGTAGCTTAATGCTGTTCAGTTGCGTATGGTGAGTGTAGAGAACCGGAGACCCTTTTTACTGGAAACGAGGCATTCCACCTAAGTCCTCACGGGTGACAACGTATCTGCATTTTGTTTCGTAATCGAGGACAGATGTAAATGTCTCTGGGCCACAGCAACCACTTACCATAAGGTGAAATGTGTGCCCGTTTGTCACCCTATTCTATAATATATATATATATATATATATATATATATATATATATATATATACATAGTGCTACAAACTATGAAATAATGGTACAATTAGGATAATTATACTACGAAATCCGACCCTGGTTACGTGGTGTATTGATATTATGACGTTTGTATTATGACAGATCCGTTACTTTTTCTTGTATGAAAAAGATATGAGTAAAATATTTAGATGGGCCTATCCTTCCTTTTGAAATAATTGCGTTAAAAGTGATTAATGTCTTTTGTGATTTGATAATTTTAATAAATGCATGAAGGTTATAATAGCAAGCTGTATTTTATAAAAATTGCGGTTTGTTTCGAGATTTGTATGAATTCATAAATATTAAATGGAAATTAAACTTTTAATATTAATAAATGTTAATAATTTACGTTTATTTGATACGTGGCGATACATAGAAGTACCAAGAAGGACGAGCGAATCATTGACTTGCATATTACCGCTAGCCTAGAGCGAATAGCGTGTTGCTAAGAAACCACAATTATATGTTTTTATTTATTGACAATATCTGAATCATTGAGTGAGAGGATAAATGAATGAGAGGAAATGAAATTGTCGCAAAGGTCAAGAGAGCTATTTCTAAGAAATTAATGCATTCTATAATCTAGTTCCTGTGAAATTGAGTAAGTATCATGAATTATTGACTAAGCAGCTTTGAATAATTCTTGTGAAATTATTCGATTCATAACGTTGACTTTGAGTGGCGTTTCCTATTCCTTTATAGTTAGATTTATTACAATATCATATTGTCAATGATCAGAGATATACGAGTATATCTCTTATATAATTCATAAAAATTTAAGAAAACTATACAGTTTATTTTGTATATTTGATCTTAATTTCAATAGAGAAGATGGATAGGTGCTATCATCTGGGGATCCTGTAATTAACAAAATTATATCCATATCCAAGCATACCACTGCAAGATTTCAAGGTACTGTAAGCTCGTTCTGCGTAAATCGGACCAAGAATTAATATTTTAAAATTGAAGTTAGCCGGGCCAACTATGACATTGGAACGTCAGACATCTTAGTCCCCCTCCTCCCGCAGCACCCAAAACGTCAGGAATCAAAATATGTAAATTATTTCCGCATATATAATCACGTATTAACACGGCAAAATTGAAAGATTGGGCGTACGGCTTTAAGGCCACAAAGACAAATTAAAATGATTTATAAAAACGTTATAAAAATCATTAACATCATTTTTGTTGCAATCTGTTTGGAATGAAAAGGTGATTTATCATTTAGCATTGCTTTACCAATGCAAATAAAAATAAAGCCGACTTTTTTGCAATATTTGATCATAACGGGAAGTCTGAAGCAACTGTTCCAAATAACCCTCCACCGAACACATGATATGGTGTCGTTAATCAAAATCAGCACTAAGCAGCAAAGAAGAAAACTAACAGCTGTAAAGACGTCGCTTCAAATGACAAACAGAAAATGGCCGAAGAAGCCGAAAAAACAAGGCGGAAGGAGGATATTAGTTTTCATGAAAAAAAAAAATATCTTTCAATCTAATGATATAGCTATCACAACTATGCATAGTTCTGACAGCCAATATCCATAACAACAGCCAACAGTTTTTAGACGTGGTGGATCCATGCTGCAACTGTATTATGGTAGTAGCAAGAATGGGTCAGCCCGACCAGGGTAGGACAACGCTCTCACAGAACACCAGCGTAAAATAGACTCACAATGCGAAACACAGGAGCAGCATTTAAGCTGCGTAGTGAGTGTAAAGAACTGGAAACCCTTTTTACTGGAAACGAGGCATTCCATCTTAGTCCTCATATTCGTACACAAAATACCAAGATACCGTTGTTTTGTACCCATGTACATGTAGTACCCATTCACAATGACATACAGACGTATGTCATTGTGCTAAACTTGAATACTAACCTCTTGTTTTAGGATGGTGAGGAATTTTAAACGGAAAACTACAAGAGAAGGGTGGACAGGCAGTGCCATGCAAAATGCGGTAAACGCTG